ATGGAGAAACAAACCAGATGCCATCTCTTCAAGGGACCATCCTGACCTCGGGGTCATCTAATAGCTCCTTTCCTTTTGATCAGGCTGGCCATGGACCAGCTGAATTAGCTTCAGATAAGAAGCACTCATCATTTCTTCCAGTGCAAGCTGGGCCCTGGCCCAGATGAAGACCACTGCCAACATGTGGGTTAAGCCCTGGTTTTCTGGAAGCACGTGTAGCCAGGCCCATCCACGAGGCTGCCACCCCCTATCGGGGCGTGCCCAGCCCAGCCCTTAACCAAATGCCTGTATTTTACATAGCTCAGGCTTTTGGAAAAATCTTTCCTTCTTGCCAGTTGGGCTCGAATCAGGCACTGCCGTCAGAGCTCTGGGGCCAGAGGGCGAGGAGGGGAAGTGAGCTCCATCTCCCACTTGAGCTTCCTAGCTCTGACTTGGGCCAGGACCATTCCCTCGTGGTGAAACTGACTGAGGATGTGGGAAGGGGTGTTTGGGGCTCGGAAGGCGAGGTCCGTGGGAGCTGCTTGGTGCTGGCAGCGTACCACCTCGTGTTTCTGCCTTTTGCAGTCCATTCTTTGTGATCTTGTGGGAAAGACGGCTGCTTTGGAGGCCAAGCTTTGGGCTTGGGTTTGAATCCTCCCCTGAGCCTTGCTAACCTTGGACAACAGTATTGTTGTCGTTGCTGTTATTATTATCCTTACTGTTACTGCTGGTGCGTATGTGGCACTTTTAGATTCACAAAGTGCTCTACAGACGTTAGCTCATTTGCTCTCCAAACCCTGGAGAGTTTAGTGTAATAGACTATTGTTATTTTTGGACAAAATCTATGACGGCACTAGCTTGGGGTAGTTAGTGTTCTGAAACTTTTTAGATTATACCTTCAGATTGGTAAAAGACTTTTCAGCGTGTACCCCATATGTATATATGCACCCACATACACACATGCATACACACATATGTATACATATACTTACAAATTATATACATGAATGAATCAAGGAATGAAAAGGCATTAAACTGCTTAGTATGTGCTAAGCACTGTGTTAAGGATTACTTATCACTAGTACTACCATCCAAATGATTATATATTATAAAAGGAGGAAGGGAAAAGGATTTGATAAAGATGAATTAATATTTGATCCTGGAGGTAATAGGGAGCTGTTGGAATTCCTTGAGTGCAGGAGTGACATGGTTAGGCTTACACTTAAGGAAAATCATCTCAGTAGCTATATAGAGGATGGATGAAATGAAGCAATATTTGTGAAGTGCTCTGCAAACCTTGAGACACATCATCACTTGAGATACTAGTGATGATGATGATGGTGATGATGATGATGGTGGTGGTGGTAGTGGTGGTGATGATGAAGATGATGATGGTGGTGGTGATGATGATGATGGAATGGGGAGAGATGAGGCAGGGAGAAGAACATTTAGGAGCCTATTGCAATAGTCTAGATGAAGAGACCTTCCTGGACCAGGATGGCTGTGCCAGTGGAGAGGAGACCAGAGGAGGAGATGTGGGGTTGGCAGTAATGTGATTTAGCAGCAGATTGAGTGTTGTTGGGGGTGGGAGAATGAGGAATTGAGGAGGAAGGGTCTGAGGTTGTGGACTTGGGTGACTGGAAGGGTCATGGTACCCTTGGAAGAGGGGTGGATTTGGGTGTGATGTGCTGAGATCTGAGATCCATCGTAACCCACCCATATCTGCTCATCCTACGGGACTCTTGCTGTTCCACCCGAAGTGAAAAAGGGGAACTTTTTTTGACTCACCAGTCACAGTCGGTGGGTATGTTGGGGGAATGGTGGAATTTTCCTAATCCTGCCTGCACAGGTGTCTGGGTAGCCTTTAGATTATTACTGCTCTGAGAAGCTGTCCAGATTCAGCAGAGGAAGGGGTTTTTAGGAGTTTGTGTAGTGGAAAGATGGGACAGGGTTTGGGAGTATTGGGGGATAAGGGTAGATTGGTTCTGTTGGAGACAAACTCCATGATTGTCTGTCATGGGTAGAGTGGGATTTGATCCATTTTCTCCCCCTATGATTAGTTAACACACACCTTGGGGCTAGACTTGGAGACCTAGGCATTGGAAAGTATAGTCAGATGTGAGACTTGAACCTCCTTATTCTGAGGTGGGCTTCTCTCCTCATTGCCCCACCACACAGGTATTTATCATCCTCATTTTATGAGCAGAGACTCAAGCCCAGTGAGTGACTTGCCCAGGGTCCCTTAGCTAGTAAGTGCCTGAGGCAGGATTCCAGCTCAGCTCTTCCTGACTCCAAGACCACGGGGCTGTCCACTTGGCCACATGGTGGCTAGTCAAGGAACTGAATCTCTGAACCTCAGTTTCTTCATCTGTAAAATGAAGAGGTTGGATTAGGTGACCGCTACTCTAATCCAGCCCTTTCCCATTCTGAATTCATCATCCCTCCTTTTATCCATCATGCATTCCCTCACCTTGTTTATTTTTCTGGGGTGTTGGAATCACATGAACAAATAAGTGAAATGCCAGGAGGAGGTTGCGCTGTTTTGTTTGGTGACAGAAGTGAGTCTGTGGTGATGCTTTGGCGGGGATTGCAGAAGGATGAGGGGTTTGTGTTCCCCAAGCTTGCTCTCCAGCATGAGGCTGTGTCAGATTCTGCAGCCCCAGGCATGTCAAGCCGTTAATTCCTCTCAGTTGTGAAAACATTGCTGGCATTACAGAGGGCTGTCCCCCCCCTAACCTTTGTGATTCTAAGGGTTAGCCCATGAGACAGAGGGGAAATTGATCCCTTCATGTGTCTTTCTTCTTGTTTTCATTTTGGCTCACATGTCACTGTGCATTTAAGTCAGATCAGTCCCGGGTGGTGGTCTGGGGGTGAGGGAGGCACTGGGGTTTGCCCAAGAAGGGCCCTGGCTTAGAATAGAGGTGGTAATCCTGATTACTGACATTTATTGATCATTTGAGAGTTTGCAAAATGCTTTACAGACATGGTCTCATTTGACAACCCTGGGAGGTAGGTCCGATAGGTATCGTTATCCCCATTTTACAGATGAGTAAACTGAATCTGGGAGAGGGAAAGTCATTTGCCTAGGGTGATGTAACTGCTAACTATTAGGTGGGTTGGTTGGTTGTTATCCTTTGTGCTCTAAGAGCACCAAAATGACATCTGTGATGGGGTCGAGGTACAGTGTGTCCTATCAGTTAAGTGCTGGGGGGTGGGAGTTGAACTCAGGTTTTCCTGCCTCTATGCCCTGAACTGTATCTACGGAGCCGCCCTGCCTCTCTCTGTTGGATCCATGGCTTCATACCCCTCTACCATGAAGTTGAGCTGCTCCTTACTCTTAGGGGTGGGGAAAGACCAGGTGCAGGAAGTACCTTCTCGGGGAGAACCGGGAGGCCCAGCTTTCTGCCAGGTTCTCCTTATCTCCTGTGCCCAGGGTTCTCCAGGGATGGGAGGGGGTGGGGTGGGAGGGCTACACCAGCTGGTAGCATTCTGATGGGCAGCACTGGATGGAGCTGAGCTCACGGTTCACCTTGACATTCTTTCTCAGACTAGCACATAGTACACACACACTTGTGCATGTATGTGTGTGTACACAAGTGTATATGTGTGTGTGCTGTAAGTCTCCAGCACTGATACCCACGAATTCTGCCCCCTTCCCCGGCACCCCACAAAGGGGATGTCCTTTGTCCCAGGGCTTCCAGTGCTCAGGCTGCCTCTGACCTCCCCAGGTGATCTGCCCCTGCCAGCTCAGGCTCCTGCCTCCATGCCGTGGCCCCCCAAGCAGCCGGCTGTTTCGTCTGCCACTAATCAGTGACACGCCAGCAGCTTTTATTGTCGTTTTCCTGCTCACCGTCCCTGCAGAAATTCTGGGGCCACCCTGCACTCTTCTGATCGGCATTGGTGGAATGTGGAATTTTCCGATGTCGATAGAAATTTTGGGCTGCTGAACTGTGGATGAGGGAGATGGGGAAGCCCGTGGTCTTCCTCATTCCCCCTCATACTACTTTTCAGTTTACTGGCCCACTTACTGTTGTTGGTATACCACGCTCTATCTGTCTC